CTACTTGATACCTCTACCTAAATATTCTTGGGTACCACAAAATCAAAATAATTAATACAGAATTCATCACCTTCATATATATATGGCACCCTCTGTGTATACACACACACATATACACAGAGGGTGCCAAAAAATGTCTACACATTCTAAGAAAGGAAAAAACTGTATTAAAAGTGTAATACTCAATATATACTGATAACAAAAGATGAATACAAATGATATGTATAGATTTTTTTTGGCATCCCTGGTGTGTATATATATATATATAGATAGATAGATAGAGAGAGAGAGAGAGAGAGAGAGAGAGTGTCTCAGTGAATGGTACCATCATCTACCAAGGCATTTAAGCCAGGAAACTAAACAAAAACAACAACAAACTTGATTTCTTCTTTATTGCTCAGAATCTAATTTTCTAACACTTTCTATGAATTCTACCTTCTAAATATCTCTCAATATATACTATCTATATAGCACTCCACTTTTTTCCATCCCAACTGTTGACACTTTAGTCCCAACAGCCATTATCTTTGCCTACTGAAGTAGTCTTCTTGCTACCAGTTTTGCCCCCTTTTATATTCTTTACCTTGTAAAAGCCAGGGGATATCTAAATCACAAAATAGATCATGTTACTTTCCTGCTTTAAATATTTCAGTCTCCATCTCCTAAGTGTTCTATGTAAGATCCCCTCATGATCTGGCACTCCTTAGTTTTTCATCATCTTATTCCTTTTTCTCTGCTTATTACCCCCACTGGAGTCATTTTGCTATCATCTGAAGGGTCCCTTCTAGTTCAGAACCAGCTTTCTGAGTTTTTTTCACCTCCTAGTCACAAAACTTTCCTTTAGCTACTCCCTCCTTCTAGTGTCTATCTCTGTTTGAGTCCTCCTTTTTCCAGACTGGGACATTGTTCCTCAAAGTCCCACTTTCCTGACATCAGGTCCTCTTCATGACCTACAGGCCCTTCTGCTTTGGATAGGTATTCACATCTTGGGAAGCTTTCAAGAAGTAGCACTTTTAGGCACATGGATGCTCTACTTGGGTTACAGTTTTCTTCCAGTTGGAGATGCTGGTCTTAGGTTCCCTAGTCTCTCTGAATTGATAACTGAAAACCCTTTTATTTCCAAAGAGTAGTAATACCCAGCTTCACATCTTTCTGACCTCCTTTCTGTACAACCAAAATGTGAGGGATGAAATATAGGCAGAGCAGAAAGTTCCCCCTTTACTCAGATAGACAGCATGTGCCTACAAGGTCCCTGGAATGTACAACACCCAGGGTATTATGCCTTTGCTTGACAAATGATAGTGAATTTATCTTGTACCTAGATCTAGACATGCTGAAACATCTATAGTTTCTAAATGGTTATGCTCATTAAGATTATTTTTGTTGAAATAGACTCTGAGTCTGACTAGCTTAAAGGGAAAAAAGGTAGTACTGGCATCAGTAATCGTAGTGATCCTAGCAATTTTACAGAATTCAAAAGAGATTTGGACAAGCAGAGACTGGGAAGGTCATGAAGTGAGGCAGCTCTGGGGCTTTCAAAAGTAGATGTGTGGGCCTTCTTTTTAGTGTCCTACCATTAATTCTTAACTTCAGAACCCTGTCTTATCTGTAAACAACCAAGGTACCTATTTCTTTTACTTGAACTGAGAGAGAGAGACAGAGAGAGATAGAGAGAGAGAGAGAGAGAGAGAGAGAGAGAGAGAGAGAAAGAGAATTTTGTTTCACTTGATTCAGGTGTCCAACACACTGAGAATAGCAGCATTCCGTAATGTAGACCTGATAGCAGGGTTCCCACCCGTTCGTGAGCGAGTAGTTCTCAGTAAACAAAGGTTAGTGAAATACTTGATTTTCACGAAAATGGGACATGTTTTCTCATTGTATCATTTTTTATTCCTTCTGCTTGGAGTTCCCTTTTTCTTTAGTAAGAAGCATTGATAATGCCAGTGATAATTAACATTTCAGTGTTTATAATGTTCCAGGCCCTGCTGTAAGTATTTACAAATGTGTTAACTCATTAAATCACATCAATAACCCTGTGAGCTAAATATTATTAGTTTCATTATTTATATGAAGAAACTGAAATATAGAAAGGTTAGATAACATTCCTAAGGAGAAACAGTAAGTAGTGGAGCTGGAATACAAATTTATGTATTCTCACTGTAGATCAGTACTATACAATAGAAATAAAATATGAAATGTCAGCTACACATATAACTTTGAATATTCTAATAGATTAAAAAATAAAAAGAAACAAGTACAATTAATTTTAATAACATATTAATTAACTGTCAAAATATTATAATTTCAACATATTGCAGTAGTCAATTTTCAAATGTGCAATAGAATCATGTGGCCTACGGCATGTACTAAACAGCTCAGGTCTGGAGTCTGTGATTTTAGGCTCAGAACCAACTAAACTTTGGCATAAAATCATGGTTCCGTTATTTATTAGCTGTGTGATCCTGAGCACAATTCTTAATGTCCTAGAGCCTAACTTTCCTCATGTGTAAATTGTATATAATAATGGTACCTACCTGACATGACTGTTAAGATTGAGTGATTGTACAGTCTTTAGAGCAGTGCCTGGCACATACCAACGATTGTTAAATATCATAATAATCATCCATCATCATCACCATCCTCATTTATTATCCTGGCATACTCTAGACTTCATATGTCTTCCTTTTCTGGCATATTGTTTTATATACCTGGAAGAGATAAATCCTCCTTAGGGACTCCCAGCTGTACTTTGTATTCATTTTCTCACTGCATCATCACAACCACCCTGCTAGGTAAATATCCCAAATGTACAATTGAGGCAACTGAAATCCACCGAGATAAGAACTTGTATAGATCACAGAAGTAGGAAATGATAACTCCAGAATTTTTGTTTGTTTTAAAGGCATAGACTATATACACTTATTTTTATTGACTACTTTGAATATTTGTTGAAATAATAAACATCATTGCTACTTCCAGTTAGCCCAGTGATTCTTTATGAAAGTTATTTTTAAGTTGCATGGCAGTTTATTTAGAGGGTTTAAAATTCCTATTTTGAAGAATTACTGTTTGAAATACTGAGAAATTCTGTTGGTATTATGTAATTTAGTGATTTTATTACCACATATACTCGAACTGTGTTATTTTAGGGATATTGATTTAATTGTATGTTTCTGAGCATGTCTGTGATATATGCGTGTTGTAGAATATTTGCAGAAGGCAGAAAAAGGACAAAAATAATTTACCCATAGTCATAGCACCAAAAAAAAGTGGTCATTTATTGTAAACATTTGGTTTGTTTACAAACACATGTATATTTTCCGTATTATTGAGATTAGTCTAAAAACACAACATTGTGACCTCCTCTTTTCATTTAAATTAAATCAGTATACATCATAAAACTTTCCAAAGAACAGTAAAACTTCTATAAAACATCACTTGTTGACTGTACAATTGTCCAAAATAGTTATCTACACTAATTTATTTGGTAAGGGGTTACTTTCACATTTTTTCTAATACTAATAATGATTCACTGTATAGATAGCTATGTTATGTGCTTCATGTAGCTCGGTTTCATTTTTTCTAGGTTTGAGGAAGCTAAGAAGGAGGCTTATGCTGTAGATATAAAGCTTGCAGAGAAGCAGGAAGATGATGCCACACTGGAAAAGAAATGGCCCTTCCTTGGGGTTCCTTTGACAGTCAAAGAAGCTTTCCAGCTACAAGGTACTGTTCTTTGTATTTTATTTATTTAGATGCATGGGTTAAATTCACAAATGGTGTATATTTTCTGAAGTTATGAACTGAAAAAATATATTACCAAAGGGAAAGGCTAATGTAAGGCTCTTCATTTTTGACTGGAGGGAAAATATTCTGCAAGTTCCATTGGGAAGAGAGACAATAATGGCCATCATCTGTTAGAACTATATGGCATATGAGGGGCTATGGTCAGTGCCCATTGATCCTCAAAGCAGACTATAAGAATAGTGCTATTATCTGATTTTTCAAGTAAACAAATTGAGGCTCATGACCCTAGAGTAGCTTCACTAAAGCTAAGCTGGGACACTGATAAAAGCCTGTGTTTTCTCTATAATGCAATTTTTGTTTTATAACTTCCAGCTGCCCTTAAAAGTGAATGAAAATCCCAGATATTTGACAATTTATCTTTGTTTTTTTCTTAATTTTAGATAATTAAAGTGTCTCCGTGAAGTCCTTTTTCGGTTGTATCATACAACCCAATAAAATTATAAAATCATATATTTAAAAAAAAAGATAATTTTGAAAGCAAGACAAAAAAAAATCTCATCTCAAAAAACGTAACTCCCAAAAGGCTATCAGCAAATTTTTCAGTAGAAACCTTATAGGTCAGGAGAGAGTGGGATGATAAATACAAAGTGCTGGGGAAAAAAAAAGAAAAGAAAAGAAACCTCCAGCCTCTTGCCAACTAATTTACCTTGAAAAGCTATTCGTCAAAAATGAAAGGGAGATAAATACTTTCCCAGACAGAAAAACTGAGCGAGTTCATCACTACTAGACCTGCACTACAGGAAATGTTAAAGGGAGGTCTTCAGTGCCAAGCAAAACATAATGATAAAGGGGTTGTTATACCAAGAGGATGTACAATTGTAAGATTATGAGTTTGTGAACTTAATTGACTGACCTTGTATAATTTTGACTTTTTTGTAAAGATAACAAAAAACTTTAGCTAAACTAAAAAGAAGACCAAATCAATAAATTCAGAAATAGAAGAGGAGACATTACAACTGATAACACAGAAATGTAAGGGATCACAAGGGATTAGCATGAAAAATTATTTGCCAACAAATTAATAACCTAAAAGAAATGGATAAATCCCTAGAAACATATAACCTACCAACCCTGAATCATAAAGAAATAATCAGAGTAGACCTATCTCTCATAGTGAAATTCAATGAGTAGTAAAATTCTCTCCCAGTAAAGAAGAGTCCAGGGTCATATAACTTCCCTGTATTTTATATCACATATTTTTTATATTATATTAACACTGATTCTTCTCAAATTCTTCCAAAAAAAACTGAAGAGCGGGAGACATTAAAAAATGCTTTTTATGAGGACAATGTTAACCTGATACCAAAGCCAGACATGGAAAGTACAAGAAAAAAAATTACAGGGCCGTCCGAGTGGCTCCTTGGTTAAGAGTTGGCTTGGGAGCGGGAGCTCTGAGCAGCAGGTCCCCGGTTTGGATCCCACATGGGCCAGTGATGCTGTTCCCTCTACAGCTAAGATGACGAACAACAGCTCGACCTGGAGCTGGGCTGCTGTGAGTCGCTGGCAATGGTGTAGGCTACAGTGGGGCTGCAGTGGGCTGCCATAAGCTACTGTGAGTGGCTGGCAGCCGCTTGAGCTGTCGTGACCTGCTGTGAGGCACCCTGAGCAGCCGTCCAATGGCCAGCGACTGATCTGGCTCAGCCGAGAAGAGCGCAATGATCACAATACCAACATGTGGAAGCAACGTCCTCCACAACTCCACTGAAGAACCAAAGGACAGCCACTTACTTGTCTGTTCCCCTTCCCCAATTTCCCAGTCCTGCTCCCTCCCACAATTCCCCAATAAAATCTTTTTTAAAAATGAGCAGAGGAACTAAACCAACATTTATTTTTCAAAGGAGACAACCAAATGCCCAACAGGCCCATGAAAAGATGCTCAATATCAGGGAAATGCAAAACAAAACCATAGTGAGATATCACATCACCCCTGCTATAATGGCTATCATCAAGAAGGCAAGACATAGCAAGTGTTGAGGATGTGGCGATATGTGAACCCTTGTGCACTGTTGGTGGGGATGTAAATTGGTTCAGACATATGTGAAAAAGTATGGGGTTCCTCAAAAAATTTAAAAAGTAAAATACATCTATTGTATGATCCAGCATTTCCACATCTGGGTATACACCCAAAGGAAATAAAACCAGAATATCAAAGAGAGATATACACTCCCATATTTATTGTAGCATTATACCCCTTATCTAGATTCTTCAGTTGTTAATATTTTTCCACATTTGCTTAATTTTTCTGTCCCATTTACCAACATTTGTTATTGTCTTTTTTTGTTATAGCCATCTTAGTGGCTATAATATAATATCTCATTTTGGTTTTAATTTGCATTTCCCTGTGGGCTAATTTTTTTAAAAATAGAGAGTAAAATAATACAGAAAAATTTTATGCCTACTTTGTTCCTCATTCCTATGTATATGTGCCTTCTCTTTTCTCTTCCCCTCTCCTGAACAGTAGAAAAAACCACTATCCTGAATTTGTTATTTTATCTTTCAAATATATTTGTAATATTTTCATATGCTTATGAATTCAATATTGAATAATAAATATCGTGTCTGCTTTTAATTTTTTCCTGAATTTTGTCATACTGTACATCTATATTTTGGGTTTTTTACCTCAAAATTGTGTTTGGGATTATCAATATCTATATAGGTCAGGATTCTTTGTCTGAAGTTATTCTTAATCTCATTAATATTCTTTATGTTTTTCTTGTTTGGTTTGGTTTGGTTTTTGGGGGGTTTTTTAGTTTCAGGTGTACAAAACATAATGATTAGACATTATTTTTTTATTGGTATTTTTGTCTTTCTGTTGTAGAGCTATAGAATTTCTTTATATGTTTTGGATACTCATTCTTTAATATTTATAGTGCAAATAACTTCTCTAAGTTTCTTTGTCTTTTAACTTTGTTTATGACTTCTTTTGTTGAACAAAATTATGTGATATTTTGAATGAATAAATCTTATATTTTACAATTTCTGCTTTTATGTCCTCTTTATAAATCATTTCAGAAATCTGAGGTTATAAAAATATTTTTATATATTTTCTTCTAATATTTTAATGCTTTATTTACCACCTTCAAGTGTTTACTGTAGCTATATTTTCTTTTGTTTATGATATAATATACATTTTTATATGAAAGACAGTTTTCTAGTACTTCTACAAGATCATCCTTTCCTTACTGATCTAAATGACACTTTCATTTTATACCAAATTTTTATATATACCTGGGTCCTTTTGTAGTCTTTCTTGTTTTTCCGTATGACCTTGATTCTGTCTTTATATTTTTATAAATATATTCTCTAAGATTGGTTTATAAAAGTAATTAGCAGTTAGGATTGTTGAATGGTAGAATTTGTAATAATAGCTTTTAGTTATTAAATATGTTCAGATACTTTACTTGTAATATTTTATTTATTCCTATGAAAGCTGAAAATCAGAAAAGTTAAGTGATTTACCCCAAAGTTTGTAAAGTTGGTAAACTACAGAGATGGGATTTGAACTCAATTCTGATTCCAAAATCTGTGCACTTTCCAATAAGTCATGTTACCTATCAGTACTAATCACATCACTTAAAATAGCTGGGATGGTTCATTGAAGGTACTCAATAAGTTGTTCCTATTTTTATTTGATAATATTTTAATTTCCTTTTCTTGTGGACTTTACAGGAATGCCTAACTCTTCTGGCCTTGTGAATCGTCGTAATACCATTTCCCAAACAGATGCCACTGTAGTGGCATTACTGAAGGAAGCCGGTGCCATTCCCCTTGGCATAACCAACTGTAGTGAGCTGTGCATGTGGTATGAATCCAGTAACAAGATCTATGGCCGATCCAACAACCCATATGATTTGCGGCATATTGTAGGTGGAAGTTCTGGTGAGTTGGACATTTCAATTCATGAATCCCTGTGAGGAAGGTGTACAGATACTATTGCACAGACTTCTGGAAAAGTTATAATTAGGTGTTTATGGTAAAGTCATTTGCAAGATTTGTCATGGATTTGTGAAGAACATTGTAGACAATGAACATTCGTACTCTTGGTTCCTTTGTGTGTTGGTGGGGAGGGAGGGAAAGAGAGAGAGAGCTAGAGAGCTAGAGAGCGAGAGAGCGAGAGAGCGAGAGAGCGAGAGAGAGAGAGAGAGAGAGAGAGAGAGAGAGAGAGAGAGAGAGTTAGTGAAGTTGGTTTAGCTTAAGACCTATATCTTTTTGAGACAAANAGAGAGAGAGAGAGAGTTAGTGAAGTTGGTTTAGCTTAAGACCTATATCTTTTTGAGACAAAGATGATAAAATAATGTAAGGACACTGAGCTCTGTTAACTGTTCTTTGTACCAGAAACTGTGCTAATGCAAGAATATAGCACATATGGTCATGGAAATCCTCTCTAACAAGATGACATTAATAATGAAATCCAAAGGATCAGAGACAGCTAAGCACTCAGGGGGCATGAGGGTAGTGGGTCAAGCAGAGTGTTCTAGATATACAGGAGGTACAAAAGCCTGAGGTGGGAACATGCTTAGTGTGTTCAGTGAACTGAAAGAAAGCACAGTGAATAAGACAGAGAGGAGTCAGACATGAAATTAAAAAGTTTTGTCCAGATCAGATTATGTAGGGGAGCAAAAGCTGAAGCAAATAGAGAAATTACAAGTCTATTTTAGTCATCCAGGAGGTAAATGATAGTGGCTTTCAACTAGTATTTGTGGAGATGAAGAAAAGTAGATGGGACACAAGATAGATTTTAAAGGTAAATTGGAACATAACTTGCTGATAGATTGGTTATGGGGATATGAGTTTAAATATAAAAACAAAAATAAAAATAACTCCTGGATTTCCAACTCGAGAGATAGTGCAGCCATTCATTCAGATGGAGAAAACTGGAAGAGGTGGGACAAATAGGGACAGCAAGATTTAGGAATATCACTTTGAGCATGTTATGTTTAAGATGTTTTTAAGACACCCATTGGCGGTGTCAAGTAGCCAATTGAATGTGTATAAGTCAGAGTAATTATCTGGGCTAAAATAATTTAGAGTTGTCATCATAAGCATAGTAGAGTATATAATCTATAACATAAGAATAGATGCAAAAAAGAAAACAGGGGGTATGTTTTGATGGAGAAGAAGTGGGGCCCATGACAGTACCTCTTCAATTTGAAGGTTAAAAAGAGAAGACATATCCAGCAAAGGAAATAAGGAATTAGCAATAAGTGATGTAGGAGGAAAACATACGAGTAACAGAGTATATTGGAGACTGAATATACATAGCTTTTATCAGACCTGAAGGCATGCATATGTGGGTTAGTAAAATATGGTGTTTAATCTTGTGGTTAATAGAGTTAAAGAGAAGACTGACAGTTTTTTGCTATGTGACCTTGGTAGCATAATAAAGGTACTCAGTGGGTAAGTTTCCTCAACTTACAGAATTTTCATAATAAAGAAACCTGCCTTGTAAGGTTATTGTGATAAATAGAAATGCAGATGTGGCTTTAGGTTACTGGTTTGGCATGTTAGGAGCTTGAAAGTTCCTACTTCCATTCTCACAACAGGAAAAAAGCTAAACAAACTGCAAATCAACAGCTCTTCTCAGAAAAGTGATGCCACAAGGCAAACCACTGTCTCAAAAAATTGAAGAGAAAGACAGGCAGATACAGCGAATCAGGACGTTCCAAAACAGAAGGGCAGAAACAGAAAACTCTGTGAGAAGCAGTACAAGGGAAGAGAAACTTAAACTGTAATTGACAATTGCTTGAGGTTCAGTTTGGGAAAGTTTCAAAGTTAAAATATCCAGGGACCCCAACACATTCATAAATGTTATATAGCCAGGAGCCCTACCAGATTATCCCAGTGAAGATCAGAGAAAAATCACCTTGTGCTTCTGGCAGGGGGAGGAGGTAAGTAGCCATCTTGAAATATGACCAAAACATTATATTTTTCTAACAAGAAATACCCTTAATAAGCTATTTTATCAGAGGCTAACCGGGGTTTTACCAGAGACTAACTGAGCTAACCTGTAGAAAGGAAAATACTCAACTCCAGCCCCCTCTAAGCTCCCTGTCTCAACAAAAGAGGAAACACAAAACTGAGAAACATGTATAAAGGTTACAAGCCATGAGTGCAGAATAGCGCAAAGACTAAGACATAATTATAGGACTATAGAATGCTTTCCCTCCCCCTTACATCTTAACAACACATCAATAGGACTTCTATATAACAGATGAATACAACTGAAAGAACTGCATCATAGGTGTTGTTTAACATGGCTCTAGGGAAACCCAAAGACAACAGTGGAGACAAAAGCAAGGATGCAAATTTAGCATCTGACACAGATAGAGCAAACAATAAACACAGCCTAACCCCTAGCCAGATAAATATAAAATTTTACAAATGCATGTCTATTTATCTCAGATCCTTTTACTCAGTATATCATGTCTGGCTTTCAACAACAAATTAAAGCCATGTTAAAAGACATATATTACAGTTTGAAAAGACAGATTTAGATATGGCAGAGATGTTGAAATTATCAGACAATGAACTTAAAACAACTATGATTAATATGCTAAGGGTGCTAATAGAAAAGTAGACAACATGCAAGCATAGATGTGTAATGTAAGCAGAGAGATGGAAGCTCTAAGAAAGAATCAAAAGGAGATGCAAGGGCCGGCCGAGTGGCTCAGTTGGTTAAGCGCTCACTCAAGAGTGCGAGCTCTGAGCAACAGCGGTTCGATTCCCGGCCTGAGCTGAGCTGCCGCTGAGCTGCCAACAGGTGGTAGGATGTGTCAGCTAAAAAAAAAGGACATGCACACTATATTACAAATGAAGAAGTCCTTCGATGGGCTTATTGATACACTTGACAGAGCTAAGGAAAGATTCAATTATATTGAAGAAACATCAATAGAAATTTCAAAAACTGAAGTTCAAAAAGAAAAATATAAAAAAGAACAAAATATTCAATAACTGTGTGATTATAAAAGGTGTAACATACATGTAATGCTAATACCAAGAGAAGAGATAAAGAAACAGAATAATTGAAGACATAGTGATAATTTCCCAAAACTAATTATAGATAACTAACTAGAAATCCAGGAAGATCAGAAAATAATAAGCAACATAAATACCAAAAAAACACCAAAAAAACACTACTCCAGGCATCATATTCGATGTACAGAAAATCAAGGAGAAAAGAAAAATCTTCAAAGAAGCAAGAGGAAAAAATACACCTTACCTGTAGAATTGCAAGGATAATTATGCAATGGACTGATTCTTTTTGTCCATCCAAATTGATATGTTGAAATCCCTAATATGGTGATATTAAAAGTGCAGGCTTTGGGAGATAATTAGATCATAAGGGTAGAGCCCTCATGAATGGGATTAATGCCCTTACAAAAGGAGCCACAGAGAACTCTCTTTCCTTCTTTCCCCTGTGTTAGAATACAATGAGAAGACATATGTCTGAAACTCAGAAGGGTGCTTTCACCAGAACCAAACCATGCTAGCACCCTTATCTTGGACTTCTAACCTCCAGAATTGTGAGAAATAAATGTCTAATTTATAAGCCATGCAGGCTATGGTACATTGTTATACAGACCAAACTGACTAAGGCAAATTACATCAGACATTTAACCAGAAACCATGTAAGCAAGAGGAGAGTGGAGTGAGAATCACAAATCTACATTTATGTGTCCAGCAGAATTATCATTCAAAATTGAAGGAAAAATAAAACGTTTTTCAGGGAAACAACCTTGAGTGAAGTTGGTCACCAGTAGACTTTCAGTGCAAGAAGTATTAAAAATAAGTTCTTCGGAGAGAAAGAAAATAATATAGGTTAGAAACTTACATCTACATAAAGAAAAAATCATTCAAGAAGGAATATATGGAGGTAAAATCTTTTATTTTTTGTATTTAAATTGATCTAACAGATAACAATTGTTTTTCAAAATAATAATAACTGATTGGGTGGTTATTACTTATGCATAAATGAGATGAATAACAGCAATGTTATAAAAGATCGGGGGAAGTGGTAATACTGTTATAAGATAATCTCAATATTTGGCAAGTAGCGTGATGTTAATTGAAGGAGGACTTGGGTTAGTTGTAAATGTATATTGTAAACTGAAGGGCAAACACTAAAAGAAACCAAAGTCTAATTTACATGTAAGAGAGGAGAAAAATAGAAAATAAAAATAATAAATAATAATCAGAGTAGGCAGAAAAAGAACTAAGGCAATGAATAGACAACAGGAACAAATATGGTAGATATTAATCTAACTATATCAATAATCACTTTAAGTATCAATGGCCTAAATACACCAATTAGAAGACAGATACTCTCGAATGGATTAAAAAGACTCAACTCTATGTTGACTACAGGAGACTGACAAATTAAAATATAAAGAGAATAAAATATTAATTAAAATAATAAAAACAATAAAATAAATAAACAAATAAAACTAAAAATAAATTAATTAAATATAAAGACACACATGTTAAAAATAAAGAGATTGTTAAAAATATACCACACTAACACTAATAAAAAAAAAGAAAGAGCTGAAGTAACTTTATCAATTTCAGATCAAGAAGACTTCAGAGAAAGAAAAATTATTAAGGACAAAAAGGACATTTCATATTGATAAAGGGGTTATTTCCTCAAGAAGGCATAATGTCTGGCTTAATGTGTATGTATGAAACAACAGAGCATCAAAATATGTGAAGCAAAAACTAATAGAACTTTAAGGAAAAAATAGATGAATTCACTATTATAGTTATTGTCTTAAGCACCCTTCTGTTAGTAACTGACAGATCCATAAAGCAGAAAATTAGTAAGGACATTTCTGAACTGAACAGCATGGTCAATCAACTGGATCTATTTGACAACTATAGAAAAACTTTTTCCCAAGACCTGCAGAATATGCTTTCTTCTCAAGCTCATATGGAACACTCACCAAATAAACTACATTCTAGGCTATTAAACACTCCTTAACCAATTTAAAATAATAAAAATCATATAAAGTATGGTCTCAGACAAAAATAAAATTAAACTAGAAATCAATTATAGAAAGATAGATGGAAAAAGTCCAAACACTTGGCGATTGAACAATACATTTATAAAAAAATAAACAGATTAAAGAACTAAATGAAAATGAAAATACAACTTATCAGAATTTGTGGAGCAGTGATGTCAGCAAGATAGGAGAGTAGTTATTTCCGATTCCTCATTTCTTAACATGTTAAGCGCCATGTCAGTCACCGGTGACTGGCACTATACTTTCCGCTCAGACCGTGTCAGTCATGTGTGACTGACGATACACAATTTTAAAAAATATATTCTTCTATTAGGAAAACTAATTTCACTTGAATCGCTTTCACACGTTTCTTCTACTGACATTGTCACGGTTACGGGTAAAGAAAAAAAATTTTCTTAAAGATTTTTATTGGGGAATTAAGGGATGGGAACAGCGCTAGGGAATGGGGGGAAGGGGAATAGACAAGTTGCTGTCCTTTTGTTCTTTTGTTCTTCTGTCTAGTTGTGGAGGACCTTGCTTCACTGGCCCAAGTTGGCACCATCATTGCGCTCTTCCCAGGCGAGGTAGATCATCCGCCGACTCACGCTGGCTGCTGGCTACACACGGTAGGTAGCCCATGGCAACCCACTGCAGCAGGGGCTGCAGCCCACACCATCGCTGGGGACTCTCAGCAGCCCAGCTCCAGGTTGAGCTGTTGTTCAGCATCTTAGCTGGAGAGGGCAGTGTCACTGGTCCTTACATGTGGGATCCGAACCGGGGCCCTCTGGCATCCTAAGCCAACTCTTAACCAACGTGCCACTCGGCCAGTCCTAAAAGAAAAAGTTTTTAAACTGCCCTGGAACACGAACCACAGACAACTGACTAAAGAGAAAGCATATCGGTGAAATGGGATATCGCGGGCTAAACGGAAAGGAAGACAAAACAGGCTTGGCTCTTAACGTGTTAATGGAAACATTAAAAACAACTAGCGGGCCGGCCAAGTTGCACGATGGTTAAGAACTGGCTTGGGACGCCAGAGGACCCCGGTTCGGATCCCACATATGAGGGCCAGTAACACTGCCCTCTACAGCTAAGATGCTGAACAACAGCTCAACCTGGAGCTGGGCTGCCGTGAGTCACCGGCGATGGCGTGGGCTGCAGCCCCTGCTGCAGTGGGTTGCCATGGGCTGCCATGTGTAGCCATCAGCCAGCGTGAGCGGCCAGCAGCCGCGGTGAGCAGCCGTCCAGAAGCCGGAGACTGATCTGCCTCACCAGGGAAGAGCACAATGATGGTGCCAGCTTGGGCCAGTGAATCAACATCCTCCACAACTAGATTGAAGAACAAAAAAAAACAAAAACAAAAACGATGGCAACTTGTCTGTTCCCCTTCCCCCAATTCCCCAGCACTGTTACCAACCCCCCATTCCCCAATAAAAATCTTTAAAAAAAAAGAAAGATATCCCAAGGCAAAGCTGACGTGTGAATTCATTGCCACCAGATATGCCCTACAAGAAATGCTAAAGAATCCTTGAAGTTGTAATGAAAGGACACCAGAGAGTAACTCAAAGTCACACAAATATAAAGATCTCTGGTAAAGGAAATGCATGAGTAAATGGAACAAACCAGTATTAGTGTAATTTTGGTTTCAAAATCAATATTTTATTTTATACAGGATGTTAAAGGACACAATCATAAAAATAATTATAAATCTGTTAGTGTGTAAACAATATATATGGATGTAATTTGTTAAGTCAGTTACATAAAGTGCAGGGAGGGAGCTGCATAAAAGCATAGTTAAGTTGGCTTACATTTATAATAGATTGTTATGACTTTACGATGTTGTTTTGTATTCTTTTAGGAGATGGTCATTCGAGTGCAGCCACAAGAGGAGACACAGGAGAAGCTCAGGAAAACCAAGTTTATTATACTCCCAGGTCCTAGAAACAGGCAAAGCAAACTATGCAAGGCCACATGGAAAAGACACCAGGGTGGTCAGTAGTCAGAAGGAAGTAGCAGGGGAAATGCTTAAGAGGCACCCTTTATTGGAGTTTCTGCAGGAAAGGCCAGGCATGGCAGGGTAAAGAGTTTAGGATTGGCTAGTTTGAATAATTTCAGTGGGCTTTGGACTATAGGAGTGGTCTCTGGTTGCCTTGTACCTGGCCCTGAGATGATAGAGGTAAAGCAGTAATGCCTTCTGTGGTACCTCCAGATAGAGGAGGTATGGTTCTGGATTGGTTAGTTTGCATAAAAGGCACACTTATGGATAGGCCATTTGCTATCTCTAAGAGCTGGCTATCCCAGGAAGGGACAATCTCTCTCCAGTCAGAATGATTTTTTAAAGATGTTAAAGCATATATATATATATATATATATATATATATA